GGCGTCCCCTCTCCAATTCTCATGATGGTTCAATCATAGAAGAGCACGTCCATGGGTCTCCCACGATGCATTTCATGAACGTGCGCTCGACAACGTCCTCCACCCTGTCTATTGTCGCAGAGCTCTCCCTAGATCGGCGAGAAGTCACTCAGAGTTTCTAGAGCTGTTTCTTCAGGTAAATTGGACAGAACATAGCTAATCTAAACGGGACGCTATAAATACACGAAACCCTTTTAGTGAGCATGACCTACTGGTTTTGAATACATTTCTTCGCGGCCGATCATGTACTTGCCATCCCCCGTGTTGGAGCTTTGGCAAACATATGGCAAACATAAGGTTTGTTTGAATTACAAGTACCAGACCGAGGAATAACAATAAGGAAGGCAACTTAAAGCCATCAGACAGTTATTGATATCCCGTCATTCAATAAGCATCGAATCCCCGGAGTCTAAGCTGCAGCCTACTTGAGCCGAGGGAGGGTTCGACACCACGAATGAACTGGCAAACACACAAACCGCACGAGAGACTGGCAATAAACGCAACGCAGGTATATCCTCAGAAGTCCAGCAGGAGGATTTTTTGCTCCCGACTCGATGGCAAAATTTCAGGCAAAAAGGAGGCAGGTCAGTTCTTAAAGACTTGGCTAACCAAAATATACATTCCATGAGGGATCATGATCGCAACAGTTAGTCGCTCTCAAATAGAAATGACCTCATAATCCTGATAAAGTACTTGAAGACACTGAATAAAACTGAAAACTAGTTTTCATAACTCCATACTGGATATACACAGGGAAAACCTCCCCAACCCTTTTAGTAGACAGCACTTTTAAGAAAGTTGAAATTTAAGGGAAACGTTGTTTCATCCACTGATACTTGATGCCAAAATATAAGTCATTATTCCTCATAGAAACGACTGAAAAAACCACATTTTTAGAAATAGACTATCCATTGATTTCGTAAAGCAACTTAGGAAGCGGAATGACAGCTCCAAATGCGGTCCA